TCAACAAATCTAATGTGCAAAACAAAAAGTGAGGGAGGCTGTTGCATTGCTGCTTTATGACCCTTTTTATATATAAAGAATGAGTAGATGTAAGTTCAATTCTTGAAAAGGTTTTTCTGCTACAATGCAGCCACATTGAGCATTTCAATGAGAAATCAGTTTTTGATTACTTTTATAATAACATTATTTATGAACAGTAACATTGTTAAGTACATAGAGTAGTAAAACGTGAAGATTTGACACCCAAATGACAAGAAAATGATCAAAGATTACAACCCGGAGCGAAACTGAAGACAAACGAGTCCTTCCAATCTGTGGTGTAAACAAACAAAATAAAAAGTTTTGTTTTTGTCTTCTGAAGACGTCGTCAACTAAATGTTTTGATTCCTTTGGGATTATATACTGAATTTAAAAGTCCCCTTACTTAAAAACGTAGTTACTTTAACAAGGTGAAGCTAATCTAATCCACCAGCTCATTCAAGAGAGAAAATAAACAAGAAACAAAAACAAAACAAGAAGGAGAGGCCGATGATCTTTGTGTATTTTTCATGTTTCTGCAAACATTTACTCTTTTAAGCAATAAAAATGTTCAAAAGGACAAATAAATAAAACTATTGTTTCCATGAAGACCGGCATTTGTTTTTCTGAGTTGAAACAATCTGCAGCAGACTGTTGGACTAAACTGTCCTTGTCCCTGCTGGTTCAGTGTCCAGTGTCCCAAAGTCTGAGGGACGTCTGCAGCTGGGAGATTAACCTCTGACCCCCTCCGGGCCTCTTCACACTCGGTTCCACTCGGTTCTAATCAGACTGCAGGTTTCTCGCTCCAAGTATGGCAACAACTGCAACGTGTTGACCAGTCGCCATGGAGACAACGAGTCAGCATCCCGGGACACTCAAGGCAGGTTCTGGTCCGAGGGGTCACATCCACTGGAGCACACAGCCCTCCGTGTTCTCCATTCTACAGAGTCCAGGTGTCTCGGGGTGTCTCCGTAGATTCTGTTCCTCAGGTCAGCTGATCAGGTCCTGGAGGTGCTGAGACAGAGGTGCTGGACAGAGGTCTAGATGGAGTCTCGAAAAGGACAGAGGTCCAGATGGAGTCTCAGGTGGGACAGAGGTCCAGATGGAGTCTCAGTGGGGACAGAGATCCAGACGGAGTCTCAGTGGGGACAGAGCTCCAGACGGAGTCTCAGTGGGGACAGAGATCCAAATGGAGTCTCAGTGGGGACAGAGCTCCAGATGGAGTCTCAGTGGGGA